CCCTGATCCTCAGCAGATGTGCAGGATCTTTGCAGGGACAAAGACAAGAATTGCAGCTCTGCCAAAGGCCCGAGGGTTTGGCACAAGGCGTGTCTGAGGGAGAGCTTACCCAGCTGCTGTCCATCGTTATCACCATCCTGGCTGCTCAGAGAGCTCTGGAGGATGCCTGAAGGTGCCAACGTGATGCCCACCCACAATCCCGGCCAGGAGGAGGCTGCAGGAGTTCCAGCCTGCCCTTGGTGCCTGGAAAGGGCATGGAACAGATGGTCCGGAGTGTCCTTACACAGCTCATATAATTCCACAGCTCGTGTCCTTACCCAGCTCGTGTCCTTACCCAGCTCATATCATTCCACAGCTCGTGTCCTTACCCAGCTCGTGTCCTTACCCAGAGCATGTCATTCCACAGCTCGTGTCATTCCACAGCTCGTGTCCTTACCCAGCTCATATCATTCCACAGCTCGTGTCCTTACCCAGCTCATGTCATTCCACAGCTTGTACCATTCCACAGCTCATGTCCTTACGCAGCTCGTGCAGGACAATGGGGAGCAGGTCCAGCCAAGCTGGGCTTGGGATGGGCAGGTCCTGCCAGGCTGGGTTTGGGACAGGCAGGCCCAGCCAGGTCCTGCCAGGCCAGGGTTGGGGCAGTCAGGTCCTGCCCGGCCCAGCTGGCCTCCCTCTGTGCCACAGTGACCTCCTCAGTGGCTGAGGACAAGGCTGTGGATGTGTTTGCCCGGACTCCAGAAAAGCTTTGGCAGCGTTTCCCACAGTGTTCTCCTGGAGAACCTGGCTGCCCCTGGCTGGGCCTGGGGAGTGGGGGGGAAGGGGCCACATCCAGCTGGGGCTGGCACCAGGGACTCCCTGGGCTCAGTACTGGGCCAGTGCTGTTTCATGGCTGTTTCACACCGGCCAGGGGTGTGAGGGTCAGCCTGGCCGCGTGCCGCGTCCTGCCCCGGGGTCACAACCCCTGGAAGGCTCCAGGCTTGGGACAGTGGCTGGAAATCTGGGAAGGCTCTGGGGTGCTGCTGACCGAGTTGGCCAGGGGATAGGATCCCCCTGGAGCCTCCCCGGGGATCAGATCCCGCAGTGGAACCTGGCTGGGGGTGGGATCCCTCTGCAGCCTTCCCCCTGTGACCTCATCTCCATGGACACAGCTCAAACACACGGGCTCCAGGGCCAGCAGCAAACCGGGAGCACCGGGACCTGGGAAAACCTGGGAGCGAGGAAGGTCAGTGCCTTAAAACACCACATTTTATACAACCCCTACTTTGTCCTTTTCCCATGGGCACGTGGGAATTCTCTGACCCTCACACATCCCCTGCACCCACCCCCTGAAATTCCCCATATCACTGCAGCCAGGGCTGGGATTTTAGTGGATTTATCCTGTTTTTCACCCATGTTCTAGAATTTAGTATTTTTTTTCCTTAGGAATTTACATGAACTGTATTAGGAAGTGAGGATTTGTAATTACAAATATTCACTAAAACCTTCAAACTCCAGCTCTAAATCCTGAATTCCAGCATTCTACATGAATAAATAGTTCAGAAATTCAGCCAATCCTGAAATTAATGCTTAAAAACCATTTACAAACCTGCATCTCATTAAATTAATGCTGACAAGTATTTTTTAAAAAGAGACTCTCCTGAAATTGGGATGTGAGATACTGGCTTTGGACAGGAGATACTGGTTTGGGATGCAGCTGCCTCTTCAAACACTGGAATTTGTGAGGGAGGAATGGGGCAGAATTGTACTTTTCCCTCCAAACTACAGGAATATCCCAACCCTATATGGCAAAAAAAGTGAAATCTTTAAAAATGTGCATTCTTGGTTTTCTCCTGAGGCAATTTGGGATGGGAAATGCAAATCCAGGAATGGCACCAAACAGTTCTGAGTCAAACATTTGAGCTGCTGGAAATACCAGTTGGAAACTTGAGGGCAGGACCGGGGCAAAACCGTTCTCTCTGAGCTGGTGTTTTTTCCCTCTGTTTCAGTTTTACAGTTTGGTTGGGATATGGCATCCAAAACAAAGAGCAAGGATGAGGAGGCACCCCAAGAAACAAGTGACGCGGAGGATCCCATCCGGGAGAGGAAACTGCACCTGCAGGAGGAATGCAAGGTCCTCACACAGCACCTGGACACCTACCTGGGAAGAGCGGAGCAGCTCCTGCAGGGCAGCAAACACCTGGAAAAGGAAGCCCAGGGCACTCGGGAGCAGAGTCAGTCTTACCTGTGCTGCGGGGCCAAGCTCAGCCAGGACCCGCCGGGCATGCTCATCACCCTGAACGACCAGAACTGCCGAGACCTGGCTCAGATCCAGGCGCAGAAGGAGGAGCTGGTGCCACGCTACGCTGGCAAAGAGCAGCAGGTGAGGAGCGCCCTGAAGGACACGGAGGCCGAGGCCTCACACCTGGACATGGAGCTGCAGCAGCTGCAGCCCTACAGGGAGCAGAAGGTGCAGGCAGAGCAGAAGGTGAAGGCGCTGGAGAAGGAGCTGCGGGTCACCAGGATACGCTGCGCTGAGGAAACCCACGCCATCAGGAGCAGGTTCCTGCAGGAAAAGGCTGACTGCGAACAGGAATTCCAGCAGAGGATGCAGCAGCTCACCTGGGGAGCAGAAGAGGTGGCGCTGCAGGCTCTGATCCAGCACGTGGAACAGGTGAAAGCCGAGAACAGGCTCCTGCGCCATGAGCTGCTCGGCCTCCTCCAGCACTGCCAGCTCCTCAAAGACACCAGAATCCAACTGCAAGACCAGCAGGAGCAGCTGCTCCGGGAGAGCCAGTGTGCCCAGCGGGCAGCACTGCCCACAGCGGCACGGCGCCGCAGGGACAGCCTACCCGGCTCACCTGTCAGGGCAGGCCACTGACCCCAAACCACTCGGCCCTGACCTGGAGGAACCAAACAGGGAAACAACCAAATCCTTCTGGCAGTGGAAGCACTGAGGGCTTTGAGCTCTTGTCACAAGGATCCGTAAAATATATTTATGGACCAGATCCATATCGATGTTCTCCTTCTCTCCCAGGGAGGTGGAGGCTGCCCCGTCCCTGGAAGGGCTCTAGGCCAGGGTGGGATGGGGTTTGGAGCAGCCTGGTCTAGTGGAAAGTGTCCCTGACCATGGCAGTGGGGTGAACCCAGTGTTTGCTGCAGTGCAGTCACACCCCAAAAAGTGACCTGAGGAGCTGGCAGCAGGCAGGGGCAGGTGTTGTGTGCACAGGAGGGGCACAGGGGATGCACAGGGGCAGGGTTACAGCTTGAGAAATGTCCCTGGAGCTCAGGAAGGGCTCAGGGCAGGGACAGGGTTACAGAGAGGGTGGACTTCGGCCATCGTCGTTTTCCATCCCAGCTGCAATTCGGGTCAGGAGCTCTCTCTGAAAGTTTGACAGTGAAAATGTTCCACTTGAGTTGTTCTTCAGGCAAGAAAAATGAGTTCCCAAGGCTGGTTGTTAAAGGAGGAGCTCGTTATCCAGCAGGAATTCCTGGGAGCAGATTGTGTTCCTGATAAGCTTGGGAGGAGCTCGGAACAGGTGCTGCTCGTTGGGGTCTGTTGGCATTTCTGAGATTATAGAGCAGCCCGAAGCTCGGGGAGAGAGGCACAACTACCCATTTATTTATGAAAACCCTCGGTGTTTCGCTCAGGAAACTCTTTTTCCTGTCAGATCAGGGATTATCCCGCTTTGCCCGCTCGTCTCCGGGAGCTGCGCTTCGGGCATTGTCCACCGGAGGGCAGCAGCGAGCGCGGGCAAGCCGCGCTCCGGCTGCAGTTCCGGGTGCCGCCAGCAGGCGGCAGCACGAGCTGCCGGCGCTGCCGAGCGCCCGCCCCGCCCCGCCCGGCCCCGGGGGCTCTGCCGGGGTTTGGGATGGAGCGGCCTTAAAGCCCGTCCGGTGCCAGCCCTGTCCTGGGCAGGGACATCTGCCCTGGCCCGGGCTGCTCCAGGCCCCGCCCGGCCTGGAAGGAAGGAAGGATGAAGGTCCCGTGCCTACCCCTGCATTTTTGGGGTGTTTTCCATAAGCACCAGAGCCAAACAGAGCTGCTCAGGGATTTGTGCAGCTACCTCTGAAAGCTCGGGGCTGCCAAAGACAGCACCAAAGCTGCTGTAGACACGGTATCCCAAAATCCCAGTTGCTGTAGATGCAACATCCCAAAATCCCTGCATCCCAAAGTCCCAGCTGCTGTAACACGACATCCCAAAATCCCTGCATTCCAAAACCCCAGTATCCCAAAACCCCAACATGCCAAAATCCCAGCTGCTGTAGGCACAGCATCCCCAAATCCCTGCATCCCAACATCCCAGATGCTGTAGACACAGCATCCCAAAATCCCAGCACCCCAAAGTCCCAGCTGCTGCAGACACAGCATCCCAAATCCCCAAACCTCAGCTGCCACAGCCCCCAGCATCCCAGCGGTGGAACTCAGCCTCCTGGCTCTGCTCCAGGCTGAGTTATTCCAGCCCTAGATGAGTTTCCCAGGCTCTGCTGCAGGACATCCCCAAGCTTGGCAGCAAGCCCCAGAGGGAGGTTGGGCTCGGAATTCCCTGCTGCATTTCCCCTGGAGATCATTCCGCTTAGATTTGCATTTCTTAAGTAAAAGGATGATTTCCTCCAGCCTCCTGCTGGATCCTACTGCTGTGGAATTCCTGAGCGCAGGCTCAGCTCAGCTCTCTGGATCAGGGCTCCCTCCCAGCACCCCCAGTTCCTCCCTCTGCCAGGACCGGGTGATCCCCCATCCCAAATTTCCCCTTGGCTTCATCCCAACCCTCTGGGGCCGGTCCTGGAGGGAAACGGCTGCTCCTGCCCCGCAGGTCCTGACCCGAGTGTAGCTGGAGGGAGCTCGGGGCTGGGCAGGGGCAACCCCAGCCCTCTTCAGCCCATCCCTGCTCCTTGGGGTGCCACCTTGGACTGTGGAGATGCCAGTGCAGTGCCAGCCCCGGGCCAGCCTGAGCCGAGGGGGTGGCAGCCCTGTCACACAAACACACACACACACACACACACACACACACACAAAATGACACCAGCTTTCTTTGCATTTTTATCTGACACCAGACCCCTGTGCCCGCCCTGGAATGTCCTGGAATGTCCTTTACACACAGCTACAAAAATCCTGGAAGGCAAAGAGGGGCAGGGCTGGTCCCCAGGGCAGAGCTTGGCCAATTCCTTGGAACAGAGCTGGGCTGATTCCCCAGATTGAGTTTGGCCAAGCCCTGGGATCAGAGCTGGACCATTTTCCTGGATCTAAGCTCGGCCAGGCCCTGGGATGGATCAGAGTTGGACCATTTCTCTGGATCCAAGCTTGGCCAGGCCCTGGGATGGATCAGAGTTGGACCATTTCCTTGGATCCAAGCTTGGCCAAGCCTTGGAATGGATCAGAGCTGGACAACTTCCCTGGATCCAAGCTTTGACAAGCCCTGGGACCAGAGCTGGGCTGATTCCCTGGATCAGGGAATCAGGCCCTGGGATCAGAGATAGACCAATTCCCAGAAGCCAAGCTCAGCCAAGCCATGGCATCAGTCAGACCCATTTCCTGGATCCAAGCCCAGCCCAGCCCTGGGAGCAGAGTCAGGGCCATCCCCAGATCCAAGCCCTGGGATCAGAGCTGGGCCCATTCCCCAGATCCAAGCTCTGGGATCAGAGTCAGGCCCCAGATCTAAGCCCAGCCCAGCCCTGGGATCAGAGCTGGGCCCATTCCCAGCTCCAGGCCCAGCCGTGGGGTGCAGTTCATGCTGAGAGGTCGCTGTTGTCAAACCTCTCCTGGTCGTAGACCTCGGCCACCACCTTCCTGCCTGCGAACCAGCGCCCGTTGAGCGCCTGGATGGCCTTGTGAGTCTCTGAGGCCATGGAGAATTCCACAAAGATCTTGACAATGATCTCAGCATCCTCCTCCTCGCCCTGCTTCTCCTGGTAGATGATGACCCTGTTCACAGCCCCGAACTTGCCGCACTCTTCTGTCACTTCTCCCTCCAGGTCATCATCGATGTCCTTGGGATCCACCATGTTCCGCAGCACCATCACCGTGGACTGCAAGGGAAGGCAGGAGGGAATTAAAGCCTGGACACACGCACAGGACACATCCCAGCACCCCAAACCCCACTGTTGGCCACTGCAGAAACACGCCATGGGGCTGCTGGTTCAGGTCCTCAGGGATAATTACTGAGTTTCCAGGTCCGTATGCTGCTGGCGGTGAGGGGCTGGCCCCTGGATCAGAATTCCCCTGGGCTGGGAATGCTGTGTGTCATTTCCTGGGATACACCCTGGAAGCACAATGAGCCTTGGGCACCACTCTCATTTTCCCTGTGCTGCTGCCACCCAGGTATTTTTGGCTTTTCCTCTATTCTGTCACAATTCTCTTTGTGTTCCTTTCTTCCCCTCCCAGTAAAGCAGAAGGAATCCCTAGGTGCTCTGGGTGCCCAACAGGATGCAAAGGTAGGTCCCACACCTGCACCCAGCCCTTCCATGACTGAGCCCCTGGGGATCTCAGATCAGAAGGGACAGCTGAAGTCACCCGGCCTGAGCTCCAGGGCCGTGTCCAGGTGGCCTCTGGGTACCTTCAAGGACAGAAATTCCACCTCCCCTCTGGGCAGGCTGCTCTGTGCACCTGGCCCTTGCACATCCGGGGCATTCCAGGCTCTGCCCCATCCCATTCCAGGCTCCATGTGAACACATTTCTTCTGGCTGTTCCTCACAGCCCAAACCAAGGCCAACTTGTAGGCTCAGAATTCCAAACAGGTTGGGATAGAGCATTTTATTTAAAAATGCTTAAAAGTTTTGTAATTTGGGGGGTTTTAAATTTTTTAAACCTTAAATAAGACTATTTAGCTGTGCTCAGCTTTTCCCAAGCCACAGATTGAGTCTCTGGGAAAGGTGCAGGGGTGGCACCTGTCACCTCCTGAACTCACCTCCTGCTTGCGGAGCAGCTTCTGCATGACCATGTGGCGGGCGCTGCTGCCCGAAATGCTCATGTGCTCCTGCTCACTCAGCATCTCTGGCCGCTCCGACTCCTGGAACACCTCCTCCTCCTCCTTCTCCTTCTTCACCTCCACCAGCCCCAGGGCTGGGGGGCTGGCCAGGATGGGATTCACAACCCCCACCTGCGGGATGGTCACCGGGATGGGCGGCCGGGCAGGGGTCACACCTGGGAGAGCACAGGGACAGGAGGGTGGTCAGTGACAGCTGGGTGATGGTCAGTGACACCTGGACAGCGGTCAGTGAAGCTGGAAAAAATTCACTGATACCCAGGCCATGGTCAGTGACACCTAGGCAGTGGTGACACCTGGACAACATTCTGTGGTACCCAGGCCATGATCACCTGGACAACGCTCAGTGATACCCAGTGCCAATTATCCAGCTTTTCCCTCCCATGCCAGGTGTTCCTGCTGGGAACCCACGGTCTGTCCCATCTATTGGACACCAAAATGAATCCATGAAACATCCAAGCTCTGGCCCAGGCAGGGTCAGGAGCACCATTCCAGCTTCCAGTGGACCCCAGGCACAGAGTGCCACTGTGGAAAAGGGACATGGATGACAAGACACACCAGTGACAAGAGCAAGGGGACCCACAGAGCTGACAAGGGAAGAGCACACATGGGTGACAGGAGGAGGGGACAGACATGTGCAGCAACATGGAGGAGACAAGAGGAGAAGCACACAGGTGACAAGAGCACACACACATGACAGAAGGAAGAGGACGCGCAGATGCCAGGAGGAAGGGGGCACGGGCCAGGAAGAAGGGACAGACACAGGTGACAGAAGAGGAGACACGCACAGGTGCCTGCGGACAGGGGACACGTGCCAGGAGGAAGGGACACAGTGCCGGGAGGAGGGCAGACACAAGAGAGAGAAGGGGATGCACAGAAGCGCCAGCAGAAAGGGGACACAGGTACCAGGAGGAGGGGACCCACCTGTGATGACACCGGGGGCCTGTGCAGCCATCACAGCCTGAGGCAGAGCCCCCAGGGGCTGGGCCAAGGTCAGGGCAGGGGACACAAGCCCCGGGGTTGCCAGCGTGCCCAGCACTGCAGCTCCTGCCACGGCTTCCTGCACGACACGCGGAAAACCTCGGGTTAGCCCTGCCCCAGGGATGTCCCTGCAGAGGAGTTGATGTGGCTGACCCAGCCAGACTCAGCTGCCCTACACCTGGGAAATGCCCCACACTCCCACCCTAAGGAGCTCCCAGTGCTGCCAGGGAAGGTAAAGGTGGCACCCAGCCCAGCAGGAAAGCAAAAGCACCTTGGAAGAAAAATCTTCTCCTGGAACTCAAATCCCAGTGGACACTCTGACTCCAGATGCCCAGGACTCCAACCACATCCAGGAGGAACATCCAGCTAAACAATAAGCACTTCCATGGAAGTACTGAAAATAATGTGCCTAAACCACACCCCAGGATCCCAATGTTTTTGGACTGTTGTTGCTTTCCAGGCCATTGTAGTCCTGGTTTAATTGCACACATCCTTCTCTTCTCCTTGTATTCTCAGGGCTCCTGTAATCCCTCATGTGGCAGAGCAGAAGATTCCAAGGTTTTGTCCCTCCATCCCAGATATTAGTGGATCTGTGACTCAAAGCTGCTGGGATATCCCAACTCTCCTCCACATAAATGCCCAAACTCTGGGATCCAACTTATCCCATCAGGGCTCTGCTCCCACTGCCCACAAGACCACTCCTATTTCCACTGGAGATGAAGCTCCTATTGAAGGGGAATGAGAAAGTGCTGGAACAAAACCACTGGAATTTCTGGCTTCACTGGTCACCTGCTGCCCCCACTTCTCATTGGAATGGCTAAAAAACTTCTCCCAATACTTTTGATTCCTCTGCTTCCTGGCAAGTCTGACTTTTCCTACCTCTGGCAGACAAAGGTGACCCTTATTCCGCTCTTTTTAGTGCCACTCTCCTCACAGGAACAGATCCTGCAGTTCCTTGACAAAACAGCAGGATTTACCCATGTCTGTGCCACATCCCTACCATTTCACTTAAGCAGAGTCCATGCTTCCTTCCCAAAGTGATTTTGATCCAAGTAATTCCAGCCATGTCTCAACTTCCTCCCTGCCCTGACTGCAGAGCTCTCCAGACCTGTGGAATCTCTCCTGGGGACCTGAGAGCTCCCTGTGAGGAGGAGCTCCTCCCACTCCTGCCTCCACCTTTGATCCAAGGGAACATTCCCCAAAAAGCCTTTTGGAGCCTCAGCTCTGCTGCAGCAGCACCACGGGCTGCACTGACCAGCAATTCCTGCCCAAGAAAATCCCACAACACAACAGTGCTGAAATTTTCTCGCTCCATGGGCTACAGTGGCATGGGGGACGGATCCTGCTGCCCAAGGCAGGGATGGGGGCACAGCCATTGGAATCTGTGCCCAGTGGTCCCACCCAGGAGCTCCTGGTACTTCAGGAAAATGAAATCAGAGAACTCAAGTTCTGTATCAAGTGCCCACCCCATCACCGCCCTTCCCTGTTTCCCAGCAGCCTAAAGTCATTCCAGGCCTCTTCCACCCTGCTACAGGAGCAACCTTCAACCAGAGTGCAGCCCACACAGCTGCTCCTGCCCCAAATCCCTCGCCCCTTCCATGTCCTTCCCTGCTCTCTTTCAGCCTCTCCTGCAACCATTTTTCCCTCACTGCTGGTTTGATTTCCAGACTAGGAATTCTCTCCACCCTTGCCCACCAGTTCTTGAAATAAAGCTCTCATCAGCTGTGCCAGATCATTTAAAATCTGGTGTCTCCCCAGGTGCCAGGGACACATTTCCATGTGTGAAATCCTGGGACAGAGTATGATCTGGAATGGCTCGTGTTGGAAGGGACCTTAAAGCTCATCCACTCCCACCCCCTGCAATGGGACGCCTTCCACTATCCCAGGTTGTCCAAACCCTGTCCAACCTGGCCTTGGACACTTCCAGGGATGGGGCAGCTTCTCTGGGCACCCTGTGCAGTGCTCTGTGCTGTCCCTGTGTCTCACCTGTGCCTCCCCTGTTCCACCCCCCCGTCTCTCCCCTGTTCAACCCCTGTGCCTCACCTGTCCCTCCCCAGTTCCACCCCCGTGTCTCACCTGTGCCGTGATCTTGGCGGTGGCAGCGGCAGCAGCGACAGCAGCTGCAGGTGGGAGCCCTCCAGGTGTGGCCGGGGTCAGGAGGGGCATCGGGGGCGTCACAGCCTTGCCCACCCGCAGGTACTGCCCGCCCAGGTCAAAGAGGTTCATGGAGGACACGGCATCCTGGGAGGACTGTGCCTTTTCATACTCTGCAGGAGGAGATTCACCAATGAGCCTTTCGTTGTTCCATCATGGAATTATGGAATGGTTTGGGTGGCAAGGGACCTTAAAGACCTTCCAGTCCCACTCCTTGCCTCCTACCATGGGCACCTTCCACTATCCCAGGCTGCTCCAAGCCTGCTTAATGAAGCCTGGACACTGCCAGGGCTGGGGCAGCCACAGCTTCTCCGGGCACCCTGTGTCAGCGCCTCACCCCCTCACAGCCACTACAAATTGTATTTCTAAATCCCGCCCTGAACTGCTCCGAAGTTCCTCCTACCCCTTAAGTAATTCCCTCACCAGGGTGGAAAACCCACCCCCAGGAGCAGAGGACACACCCCTGCCCTGCCCCAGCTGGTTGTACCAATGAAGCCGTAGCCTTTGTGCTTCCCTGTCGTGGGGTCCCTGGCCAAGGTGCAGGATTTGATCTTCCCAAAGGCTTCGAACACGCTCTTGATGTCGTCGTCGGACAGGTCCTGGTGCACAGAGGCCACGTAGATGCGGTTGAAGGCCCGGGCCTCCTCTGCCAGCTGGTCAATGATGGGCTGAGCCTGCCCGATGTTGCTGGGCCTCCCCACCTGCAGGGACAGGGATGGACTGGAGCTGGGAAGGGCCTGGAGTACCAGGAGGGGCTCAGGGAGCTGGGAAAGGGCCTCAGCCTGGAGCAAAGGAGGCTCAGGGGGACCTTGTGGCTCTGCACAACTCCCTGACAGGAGGGGACAGCTAGGGGGGTCGGGCTCTGCTCCCAAAGACCAAGAGACAGGACAAAGGGAAACAGCCTCGAGCTGTGCCAGGGGAGGTTCAGGCTGGACATCAGGAGGAATCTCTTCAAGGAAATAGCGCTCAGGCATTGGAAGGGGCTCCCCAAGGAGATGCTGGAGTCTCCATTCCTGAAGACATCAAAGGAATGTCTGGACATGGCACTCAGTGCTCTGGGCTGGGTGACAAGGCGGGGATTGGTGACAGACTGGACTCCATGAGCTGGGAGGGATTTTCCCATGTGAGCAGCTCCATTATTCTGTGACATGGATGGTCCATGGAGCAGGACACCACTTGGCCCCTCCCTGCCCGTGCAAACACAGCACACCTCAGAGGCAAAAGGTTCAGGAACAGCCTGTACTACCCAGGTCCTGGGCTGTGCTCCCTCCTCCCTGTACCAATTTACCTTCCCTGACCTGCTAAACTTTCAGGGACTGAGAAGCATTCTGCAAGCAATTCACAGCATTCCTACCTCTTTCCTAAACCCCCTGGGCCATGGCACTCTGCACACTCAGGGTGTGTCAGAGACACCATAAAATATATAAAGAATCACCTTGGCTTTGTCTTCAAAAGAATTCCATGTGTGGGTGGGAAAACCTGAAGCCAATCTCAGGTGGGACTTGCAGGCTGGGGGTTTCTCCTTGGAGAGGAGGGACCCAGAGCCACTGTGTGCTCCATGCTGGACATCAAGGTTCATCAGGGAACAGTCTTTAGATTCCTTCCCCCATCACAGTGCCGTGGGGAGCATTTCCAGGCATGAAACCATTATTGCCAGGAAAAGAGAAGCAGGAATTTTCAGAGCAGGCATGTTACTCACCTTGATGTTCCTTCCCCCCAGCATGACAGAATTCATCTGCTCCAGGGCCAGCTGGGCAGCCTCAGGAACCTCATATTCCACAAAGGCAAAGCCCTGGGATGGGAGGAGACACCTGTCAATCACACCAGCTGTGCCAGTCTAATGCAGCCGAGCTTTCCCATGGACCAGATGCCTGCAGGTGGAATTGATTCCCACCACACTGATTTCTGCTCGTGGCCCAAGAAGATTCCTTAAAGAAGTATTTTATTATGGCAGAAAATGGCCTGCAGAGGTTCCCCCAAGAACATCTGATTCTGGAGCCCCTCAGACTCTGAGGTCCTGCAGCAAAACCCCACCCAACTAATGGCTGCTGCCTTGTCAGCACTTCCAGAGCTTCTGGCTGGGCATGAGGAGGAGTTTCTTCACTGAAGGGATGGTCAGGCATTGAAAGGGGCTGTCCAAGGATGTGTGGAATCCCCATCCCTGGAGATGTCTGAGGAATGACTGAATGTGGCACTCAGTGCTCTGGGCACTCTTTTCCAACCTCAACGATTCTGATTCCATGCACTTCACCCCACACAGCCCTGGCTCCCACCACAGAATTCTGCCATAAGCAGATCAGGGAGCTGCAAACATTCACCCCCAGCGCTAAAAGGAGCCTGTTCTTCACAGGGATAGAGGCCCTTTACTCTCTTGGCTTCATCTGGAAAGCCTTGAAGAGAGAATGTTCATTGAAGGCTGGGAATCATAGAATCATGGAATGATTTGGATTGTAGAGACCTTCCACTAGACCAGGTTGCTCCAAACCCCATCCTGCTTGACCTTAAGACACTTCCAGGAATGGGGCAGCCACAGATTCTCTGGGCAACCTGTGCCAGGGCCTCACCACCCCCATGGGGAAAAATTCCTTCCCAGTTTCTCATCCAGAATTCTGCAAAGCTGCTTATTTTGTGTTTAGGACACATGGCTGAAAGAAATGTCCTTGCAGAAGACCCCAAAACTGCTGCCGCATCACTGGGGCAGCAGCACCAGCTCTTGCTGCCCCCAAAGAATTCCACCCCTTCCCAAGACAGTTCACCTGCTCTTTGCCAGATCCGGGCCATCCCCCAACAGTTTGGGTGGGACAGGACCTTAGAGCTCACCCAGTTCCACTCTGTGTCACAGGCAGGGAACCTCCCAGCAGCCCCATCCCACCTTGTGCTTCATGGTGACGGAGTCCCAGGACATGTCGATGCTCTTGATGGGCCCGAAGGGGGCGAAGGCCTGGCGGATGGTGTCCTCCCCCAGCTCGTAGTAGATGGAGCCCACGTAGACCCGGCACATGATGGCGAGTGCCCGCTGCCTCTGAGCCGCCATCTGTAGCGAGACAAGGACTGGCTGGTCAGTGCTGGGCTGGCCGTGGCCACCGGGGCCTCCTCCCCTCCTGCTTCCCTCCCGGGAGCCAGCCCTGGCGGCAGCTCTGGCACAGCCTGGATCAGAAGGATTTCCCTGCTCGCTGCACAGGGCGCTGGAGCGGATCCGTCCGGCTCAGTCCCGGATAAAGTCCGGCTCGTCCTGGGGCAGACACAGCTCGGCTGCTCTGACCGGATCTCCCCCGGCCTGATCTCATCTCCAGCCACACCTGCAGGAGGAGGGAATCCCTTCACTCTAGGGCAGCTTCCCCCTCCAGGCAGCAAAGGGCTCAGCTCTGGGCACTGGGAGAACCCCTCCCACTCCCCCCCCAACAGCAGAGATCCATCGGCACTCCCGCCCCCACCCATCCTCCCCGGCAGCAAAGGGTCTGGAACTGGGAACCCCCCCCCCCGCTCCCTCTGGTACCAGAGCTTCCCCCCACCCCTGGCAGTCCGAGATCCAGTACTGGGCACCACTTCCACAGCTCAACAGCAAAGCCAAACACTTCCATGGCCCAGTGGGACTCCTGGGAAGCGTGTGGTGCCAGTACTCATCCCTGCCTGGTGGCACTGGCTGTACTGGTGCAGCCCCAACACGCAGGGGCTGCACACAGGGTTCCTGCTACGGTGTCCTAAGTCTGCCTGGAAGCCTGTTTTCAAGACAAATCCAGCCATTCCTCACAGGAGGGATCCCAAAAGCAAAGCACAGTGTGTCCTTCATGTCTGTCACCCCCAGAGAAGCTCTAGAGCTGCTGAGGGACATGGCCCTGGACATGTGGCCATGCCTCGGGGCTCTGGAGGAGTCACTGCCTGCATGTCAGGGGATGGCTCTGGGGCAGGTGGGACACACCTGGGGCAGGAAGAGGCTGGTGCAGAGCACGTGCAGCAGCAGCAGGTGATGCCTCGGCCCTGCCCAGCACCACAGCAGCGAGTTCCGAGCACCCCCAGGGCAGAGGGGCTGCAACCAGGGCCTTCAGGAGACAATTTCTGGGGTGCCCTAATGAGCAGAGGAGCTCTGCCATGCCTGGGGTCTCCTGGGGCAGAGGGAAAGCACTCAGAACCTCCTCAAGGCTGATTTTTGGGGTGCCCTGATGAGTACAGGAGCTCTGCCTGGGGATGCTACAGGCCAAAGGGAGGGAGAGCTCATCTATGACAGGCACAGTAGCATGGACACAGCCTGTACCCAAGGGACTCCTGCACCCTGCTGCACCTGTCCAGGACTGCCACTGGCCACAGGAGGAAACCACCTGCGAGAGTTTAACTCCTGCCATTCTCTACAGGATGCTGCAAACAGGGACAGCTCTCACCCCTGACTGTCCCTGAGGTGACATTAAACCCCAACTGCTGCTCCTGAGGTGACATCGAGCCCCAGCTGCTGCTCCTGAGGTGACATCGAGCCCCAGACTCTGCCCCTGAGGTGACATCAAGCCTCAAATGTTGCTCCTGTGGTGACATCGAGCCCCAACTGTTGCTCCTGAGGTGACATCCAGCCCCAGCCGCTGCTCCTGAGGTGACATCCAGCTTGCCCCCTGCCTGGCTTAGGATTTCCCAGCACGGCTGGGCCATGGCTCTCTTTACTCTGCAGGCTGTGACCAGCAGGACTATGGCACGTACACATGCAGGACAGTGGCTGGGTGCTCTCCCAGGTGCTGCAGCACATTCTCAGCTTTGGTGCAGGAAAGCCCCTCAGTCTGCAGCATATCTGTTTAGGGGGTCAGAGCCACCACCAGTGTCACCCTGGGTGTCCCAGGGAGGTGCCTCTCCCGAGGAGCCTCTGCAGGAGGAAATCCCCACTTTGCCCTGCCACAGGACTCTAAAGGAGAGGTGGGGGAGCACGGAGGACTCAGGATTTTCAGACAGCAGAAGAATTCATTCCTGCAAAGGGTGTTCAGGCATTGGAAGAGGCTGTCCAAGGAGGTTCGGAGTCCCCATCCCTGGAGGTGTCCAGGGAACACCTGGATGTGGCACTCAGTGCTCTGGGCTGGTGACAATGTGGGGATCAGGCACAGCTTGGACTTGATGACCTTGGAGGTCTTTTCCAGCCTTAATGACTCTGGGATTTTGGACTTGCAGAAGGCAGAGGTGAGATGGGCTGTGCTGACTCCAGGTCTCTGTGGGTCACCAACAGGAGCATCCAGATAGGGGATGTGCCCTGGGCACCTGAGCTCAGCACAAGTTGGTGTCAGGGCCTCCTGCCTGGACATCTCACTGCTCTCAGCAGCCCCCAGGCTGATTTCACTGCTCCCTGGGCCTCTTTCTCCTCCTGTAAATTGGAAAAGCACCTGAAGCCTCAGCCAGGCAGCAGCCTCCACATTTAGCTGTGCAATGCTGCTCTAAAGGGATTTGGGAGGTTATTTTAAGCACAGGCCAAAACCCCACCTTGGGGTGCTCTTGTAATCAAAGCAAGTGATGCACAAGCCTCAGCACGAGCATCAGTCATGACACAGTGACACCAGGGGATGGCGAAGGGATGTGGGAATCTTACACTGTGACGCTGAGGATTGAGCCCATAGGAAGCTGTAACTCAGGCCTTGAGACCCAGAGCTCAGGGAGTTCAGGCTGTGCTGCCTCCACAAAGGAACTGGAAAACTCTGGCAACAGGAAAAGTGCTGGACAGGGGGCTGTTTGCACTTTGTGCATTCTGATGCAAAAAGGGGGCTCCGGGATGAAGCATCTGCCAAGAATGGGAAGCATCTGCCAATAAAGGGGGCTTTGGGATGAAGCATCTGCCCATCTGACTGCTCTGAACTGTACCAGGCTCCTGTTCCTGGGCTGTGTCCATGTGTGAGTCCCAAAGGAGGAATGGCTGAGGAAAAGGGGTCATAAGCCATTAAAACTTTCCTGTGCCACCAATTCAGCTGTGCCCAGCTGGGGAGAATGAGCCAGAAACGATTTAGGCCAAATTGCTGGAGTTCCACTGTCAGACAGCAGCTCCGGGGATGGGGGAGTTCCTAGGCATGAGGGCTCCGACACCATCTCTGCCAAATGCACACCAAGATGGCTGCTGTGCTCCACTCCAAACGTCCCCCTGCTCCAGAACATCCATTCTGGCTCCCCACTGATACACCACCCACTGCCAAAGGAGGGAGACTGGGGATTTCACTTCAGTGCCCTTTTTCTTGGAGTTCAAACCTCCACCCATGTGTTACGCCAGGCACAAATCTCATTTTCCAGCAAGATGGAGAGGTATTTACAAATGAATTTACAACTGAACCTTTGGGCACAGAGAGGAGTCACAGGACACTTTGTCCAGCACGTCTTAGAAAAAGGAGAGGATGGATTGTGCCCAGTCATTCAGCTCTTTGTGGCCCCTGATTAGAAAGGGCACAAAGGCTCACCCAAGTGCTCTGATCAGTGCTGCAGTTCTGTCCCTTCCATCCTGCTTTTGCTGCACTCAGAACGTGCCATACTGCCCTGGTCTGGACCGTGCACAGTAAAGAGAGTCTGAGCCTGGGCTACACCATGTTCTACCAACCTCCGGCACCCCGGCCCTCCCCAGCACCGGCCGGCTCTGGGTGCTGGGAGGTCGTTCCACAAGAAATCGCCCCTTGGTGAGTTACCTTGGCCGTTAGTTTTAGGTCAGGACCTCAGAACTGTAGCATCCCTAGAAATGCAGCTCCCACAATTTCACGGGTGTGTTCAGAACTGGTGGAAATCTAAAGCTGTCTTTGCCCCCGAGTGGCAGTGTCCCCGCAGACTGCACAGCCTGGGGTCTTCTCGGGGCAGTGACACCTCGCTCTGCTCCTGGGCGTGTCCAGTACAGGTGGGGATGTGGGAGGGCTGTGCTGGGCGCGGACAAGAGCATTGGCACCACTACGAACGTCCCCACGCTAGGCCCTGACTAAGACAAGTGCCCCAGAAGAAGTGAATATGTCTATTGACCGATTGTAAAGGTGAGAGAGGATCTCCAAAGCCCATTGTCACTGCTGCCATCTGAAAGACAGTAAAGACAGAGTTCAGTCTGTTGGAGCTGAGCATACTACGGCTGTTTGTACAAACTCAAGCAGAGCGGCGGCACAGGGGCACCTGCGGAGAGGCCTCTCCTTCCTCGGCCCTCACTGCCTGGTCCCCAGGACTGCCCGGCGCCAGGACCCTGCTGAGTCCGGTCCCACCAGGCCAGGGTGGGGATGTGCTGCTGCCGCTGCCTCGGGAAGCAGGGTGGGATCCCAGGGGGGACTCAAGGCAATAGTAACCTCTGCAACCACTGTTGTTGATTCACCCCCAGCATTTAAAAGGAGCCCCTCAACTAGAGCAGACCCTCAGAACCAGGCACAGCCCCAAACGGCCTCAGCTGCCGGGCAGGGAGAGCACATCCACGGGGATTCCTCAGGCAAAGCCCTTGTTTTGGGCTTCCTGACTTTGAGTAAAGACACTGAGACATGTTCCAGAAACGTCTGAAGGAGGGGAGGTCAAACCCTAGTTAAGGGTTCTCCCAGTGGGGGCATTCCAGTACAAGCAGGAACAGCCAACAGAACTTCAAAATTGAGAGCACCTGGGTGCAGGGGACAGAAACGGGGCAGCACTAGGACACAAGAACACAGGGACCCTCCCTCAGGCAGAGGAGATGGTGATAGGACACTGTTCCCAGGATCTCTTCTGCCCTCACCACCTTAAACATGGCTCAGAAGCAAAGCCCACGGCAAAGTCTTTGGCTTCTTGTATCTCAAGAAGGGACATCCAACAGGACTGGAACTTTTAACCATTTCCTCTTGGAACAAAAGAGATCTGCGGGCAATTTGTGAGGTTAGTCAGGGTGCCCAGGTGAGCTGCAGGCTCAGGGCTGTGCTCTGGTTCCAAGGGCCTTGAGAACTCCACCGTGTTGGGGGGAGCACGAGGCAGAGGGAGCGGCTCGCAGGGGGGTCTCACCTGGAGGTTGGTGAGCTGCTGCTGCTGGTGGGCGATGGTTTGTTTCACCAGCACGCTCTTGATGCTCTGCTCCATCGCGTACTTCTTGGCCTGGAAGGAAAACAGGGGCTGTAGGGGCAGGACAACACAGCGGGGCAGGGAACGACGCCTGGCTCTGCACCACAGCTCCCAGAACCTTCTGGTCTCCGTCCCTAAGCACCAGGCACTGCCCACAGCTCCCCAGCACCTCGAGGCCCTGGGACACAGAGAATGCCGTGTGGGGCAGCGCAGGGAAGCAGCATGCACCGGGAGCTCGGCATTCCCCCTCTTCCGCCCTCACACCCCACCGCAGCCCCTTACCTGCAGGGCCCAGGGCGGGGCACGGCCTCCTCCAGTCCTCTCCTCTCAGAGAGCGTCTGCACAGACGGGTGCTACAGGAGGGAAGGGGCTCCACCTCCCTCCCCATGGCCACCCTGGACTGGGCTCTGCCCTCTCAGCACACCCGGCCTGCTCTGCGTCTGCTCCCAAACCACACCAGCTCCTCCCTGGCTCTGCTCCCTAAATGCCCCAGTTCACCTCTGGCTCTGCCTGCCCTTGCAAGACTCCCTTGGGGCTGCTCTCAGTCCTCCCCAAATGTGGCAAAGCCAGAGATTCCAGGCTGCCAGCACCAAGGCCCAGTGCCAAGACAAACCTCATCCCCAGACCTGTGCTTTTCCCCAGGACACACACTCAGCCACCCCTTGGCACCTGGTCTCCATGGCTGTGTTTGGGAGCTGCCAAGGAACAGGAGGATCTAACCCAGGGATTTGAGGGGTGTGCTTTGGAAACCTGAGAATAGACAAGGGGGTTTGCATCCACTGGCTCCAGAGAAGCCAGAGGGAATGAGGCTAGGAGCCAGCCACCTCACACAGAGGGACAGCTGTGACAGCCAGGCACAGCCACATGGAGCCTCCCGAGGACAGAGCTCTGTGTCCCTGTCATCCCGAGGACAGGGGTACTCTGGGATGTGTGTAGGTGTGGACAGTGACAGGCCAGCTGGAGCAGATCCCAATTTCAGTGCTCCTGGAGCAGCAGCTGCTCCTCAGTGACCTTGTGGCACCCACACCCTAGCTCAGAATTCCCATCTGACTTAGGACGCCATTTTTCTGAACTGACTTTAATTAAACCCACTCTCACCCACCCCAACAGCAATTCCCCACCATGTTCCTGAAAGTGTCCATGAACCCTAAACCAACCCGAGTAATTCCAAATGTGACTGTGGGACCCTCCAGTATGGCCATGATCCCAGAGATCCAGTGGTGAATTCCCTTTGGCCCCACCAGTGGCAGAGTCTCATTAAAACACACCACCACTCCCCAAACAGCAAATTGACACCAGTTTTACTCACTTTCTGGAGAGCTTCCTGCTGCTCCGGGGTGAGAGGGGGCAGCCCCAGCTTTGCTGCTGTGCTTTGCCCGTTTTCCATCTTAATGGACTCCGTACCCTAAGGAGACAGAAGATACTCAGGGAAAACTGTTCTCACAGGAGTGACCTCTCTTCCTTGCCAGAAAATCAAAGCACTTCATGTCAGAACATGACAGTTGGCTAAAAACCCTTCCCAAACCCAGCTGTATGTCAGGAAAACCAGTTCATATTCCCACTATTCTCTGCGGGAAGAGCCATCCCAGCAACTGTATACTTAGAGAGTTCTCTAGCCACGTTTTCTGTGAACAGACAATCAGATAATCCCCAATCCTCGCTCATGTCATCTCCATCCCCTCAACAAGATCCACTGTCTAATGTCCCCATCAATGTTCTCCTCCTGCTTCTCCCTCCCAGCTCTGTTCACCCAGCTCTCTCAAGTTCTTATTTTAAAACCTTCTCTGAAACTTTCCCAAATCACAGAATCATGGAATGCTTTGGAGAGACCTTAAAGTTCAGGCAGTCCCACCCTCTGCCATGGGCAGGGACACCTTCCATTGTCCCAGGTTGCTCCAAGCCCTGTCCAGCCTGGCCTGGAACACTTCCAGGGACACGGCAGCCACAGCTCCTCTGGGCAACCACTGGCTGGGTCTCACCACCCTCACAGGGAAGGATTTCTCCCCAATATCCCATCTGGCCCTGCCCTCTGGCAGTGGGAAGCCATTCCTTGTGTCCTGTCACTCCCAGCCCTTGTCTGAAGTCTCACTCCAGCCCTCTGAACTATGATTCCAGCACAGCACAGTGATCCCACTGCTGGGACTGGGACTGCAGCGTGGTGATCCCACTGCTGGGACCATGGATCCCAGTGCTCAGACCATGGATCCTACTGCTGGAATCAGAATGGGGGTTCTGGCAGCACCATCCATCAAAACAGAGCTGGTTCCTACTCTCAACTCCACATTTCCCATCAATCACCCAAAAACCAGCAGGGACAATCCCCAGCCTGTGGTCCTGGATGTGCTCCTGTGGGATGTCTTTGCTTCAAGTAAAAGGATCCATGGAAAAACCTCCATTCAGAGCAGGAGCCAAGACCTGAAGCTTTACCAAAAGCAAAGCTTTTCCTGGACTGTCACAGAATCATGGAATAGTTTGGGTTGGAGGGACTTCAAAGCTCATCCCATTCCACTCCCTGCCATGGGCAGGGGATACCCTCCACTAGCCCAGTTCCTCCAACCTGGCCTTGGACACTTCCAGGGATGGGGCAGCCACAGCTTCCCTTCCCAGCCCAGCCATTCCAGGATTTTAGGATATATCCTCTGTGGAGTTGCGTTATTTGTATGTTTTATTATCCCTATATTATGTATCAGTTTATTCCTTTGTACCCCCGTGTGCAACTTGGTTTATCCCCAGTTTTCCCGCCTTGTCCTCCCTTCCTGCCTTCCCAGTATCTATCCATCACCCTGAAAGAGGCATTTTACCCCCCCCCGGGTGCCTTGTCTATCACTCGGTGCCCCTTCCCATCCATCCAGAAGCTTCCACTCAGGGCACCGGGTGATTGGGCGAGGACCTGGGGCTCCCCCCATATCTTTCCCCCATTGGACCCCATCATACCCCCCCATCCCGGAGCCACCCCCTATCCCTATCCCCATTGGTCGTTGGATACCCCTCCCTTACAGTTTATAAGCCAGTGCAAGCACCTTGTGCTTGTTCCTGTTGGCTGGCACCGTTCTAGGATATTTGGCCCCGTTGGGCTACAATAAACTCAGACTTAGCCCCCAGCAGGATCCGCTCTTCATTTACCACCGCGAGGCTTGCTAGCGCTGCCCGGAACCCACAAAGGCACTCTCCAAACCCCAGCTGGGAGCGGCGGAGGGTGCCTCCATCGCCCGCCCTCGCCCCACAAGAGCTAGCCAGGGCTGAGAGAAAAGGGAACCGGGGCGGGAGCGCGGCAATCCTCAATCATCTGACTCTCATTTTACAGCAAGAATGAGACTCCTGGTTCTGTGCCTCCAGTCCCCTGTGGGTGGTGTGAGCATTTTCCAGGATCAGTGCACATGGAGCAGACAGAAAACAAACCCTCCCAACACAAAATCCTGCTCTGCAGGTGTCCAGACATTATCCAGAGCTGCAGCTGTTCCCCATGTCCCTTCAGAAGTCCATGGCTGCACTGGGACACAAGAAACACAAGGATGATGGGAACAGAGGTGGCTGGAGCTGCACACTGGCAAACTCCAGTGCACAAAGCCACAGCCAAGCTGAAAACAAGACCAGCAAGGGATATGGAATCATGGAATTGCTGGAATTGGAAAAGCCTTCATAGCCCGCCGAGTCCAACTGTCCCCAGCACTGCCAAGGCCAGCAACCATGTCCCCTAATGAAATGCCATCTCCACCTGGCCACAAGCACAATCCAGAAATGCTCATTTGTTTAGAAAAGAAGGCTCCCTCATCTCCAAGATTCATTTTGATTGTGGAACATCCAATAAATTAATTTTTAAAATCCTTCTTGTCCTTTCCCACCTGGCTGAAGCCTGTTTGTCAACAGCTGTCCCTGTCCCCTCCCATGTCTCTGCCGCTGGACACCCAGACCTCTCCCCAGCCAATTTCAAAATCCACAAACCCTTCTCCCACTGCTGCTACCATCTCCTCCAGCTTTAAAAACTCAATTATTCCCATTTAGGAGCTCTGAGATGTGGAAGGAGAAGAACAGAGTGAAGGGCGGCCAAGTGTAACCATTCAAAATAAAAAAGTGAGGAGCCCGTTCTGTTGTGATTGTTCCAAACCCAGCCCATTGCACAGCTGACTTTAATATAATTTACATATCTGGGCTCATTAACAGGCACAGCTTCCAAAAACTGCTCTGGAACATCGCAGCTCCAGCAGAGAGAGCAAAGCTGAGACTGGAAGGACCCAGAGGTACCCAGGCACTGCTGGCTCCAAGCTCTCTGCCCTCACAAATCCCTCTGGGAAGAGCCCATAGATCCAGGAGTGATCCCTGCTGACCACGGGAATGGCTCCAACAGGAATTCCTGACCATATATCCCTTGCCATGGAGCATTCGCCAAGGAACATCATCACCCTGTCACTCTGGGCTCCCTGGAAAGCAGTACATTGTGCAAACCCATCCCAGCCTCCACCCTGAGACTCAGAGAGCCCAGAGTGCTGCCTTCCTCTTTCCAGGCTCCTCGGGATAACCCTGCTCCCAGAAACCAGGAACAAGCCCAGCTCCCTGGGGCCAGACAATAGCACCTGGGGCTTTGTGCTCAGGCTCCTCCCCTGAAACCTTATTACCACATCACATAACAGCCAGAGGAAGGAGGAAAGTGGGAGAAAAACTCGAGCAAAGCCAGTTGAGGAAGCAGGAGAACAGGAGCTTCTTTGGAAAAAAATAAATGGGAACTGGATTCCTGCTGCTATTCCGGCATCTGAGCATGGCTGGGTCCTTATAGGGGGTTTGAACACCAAAAGCGCAGAAACATTTCTGGAAATCTGTTATAGAGCTGAGAACTTCCATGAAGTATAAACACACAAAAAGGACAGAATCCCGTTTATTTGGGAACCACAAACAGCAGATCACATGGAGATTCAAGGAGACAGAAGTGCAAAAAGGAAGGATGAAGCACATGGCCAGGGCATTGGCTCTACCCTTGCTCCCTGACAGGGTGAACAGGAATTCAGCAGAGTCCTTTCACACTGGCCCCAGCAGGGGCTGGAACACAGCCAGAGCAGCACTGAATGCCAGGATCAGATAGAGCACCGAGTCCAGCCTGGGACTGATCCCCACCTCTCAGCACATCAGAGCTCCGAGTGCCGTGTCCAGCTGCTCCTTGGATACTTCAAACCTCCAGCAGCAGCCCCTTGCAATGGCCCCACCTCTTCCAGAAAGAAATTCCTCAACTACAGCTGAGTGTCCAGGGAAGGCCCTTCCTAGTGGGTACAGCCACACTCCAGTTCAGTCCCTATTTTCCATCTAAGCCCTTGGGGATTCCACTGGCAGCCTGGAAGCCCTTGTGGGCACGGTAACCTTTAGTACTCCTCAGTGGCTTTAGGAACTCGTTTCCCACACCCCGTGGAATGTTCTTTCCCAACTGGGAACAGCAGTGCTGGCAGTCACTGCTGGCATGTGCAGAATCCAGAGCATGGGGCACATCCAAAGCTTCTCCACTACTCCCCAGATGTGTTCCTAGAGATTGGCAGGAACCCAAACCTCCCAAAATGGGCCCTTTCTGCAGCACTTGGTGAGCAAATGGCTCCCACAGCTGCATTCCCTGGGAATCCCACACACATCCCCTGGGCTCTGTCTGTCCCACAGCACACCAAGGGGCTATCCAGGATCCTGCACTCCCTGGGAATCTCACATACATCCCCCTAGGATCTGTCTGTCCCACAGCACACCAAGGGGCTATCCAGGATCCTGCACTCCCTGGGAATCCCACATACATCCCCCTAGGATCTGTCTGTCCCACAGCACACCAAGGGGCTATCCAGGATCCTGGATTCCATGGGAATTCCACATACATCCCCTGGCCCTGATCTGTCCCACAGAGCCATCCAGGATTCCCTGAAAACGTGGAATGAACATTCACAGGTCCCACCCAGCCTCCCGGGCTCCTTCCCCAGGAGCAGCAAAGCTGATTTCTGCATCTGACGGGCAGCCACACAGCTGCCTTCGTGTGACTCCCACTGCTTCTGCCACCATGGAATCACAAGGGGCTGGAAAACACCTCCAGACCGTTAAGCCAAACCTGTGACCTGTCCCCAACCTGTCCCCAGAGTGCCACCTCCAGGGACTGGCACTCCAAACCCCCCTGGGCACCCTTTCCTCAAAGGAATTCCTCCTGGTGTCCAGCCTGAGCCTCCCCTGGCACAGCCTGAGGCCATTTCCTCCTGTCCTCTCACCTGGAAGGGTGTGCACAGGGACTCCCCACACCTGGAGACCCCTGTGCAGATGTGTCCACAGGGATTGCCCACACCTGGAGAGCCCTGTGCACGTGTGGCCACAGGGATTCCCCACACCTGGAGAGCCCTGTGCAGGTGTGTCCACATGGATCCCCACACTTGGAGACCCCTGTGCAGGCATGCCCACTGGGTAAATGGGAATTCTGAGGCCAGGTTATTTCCTTCCCATCCCCCGCGGAATCACAGGTAACCTCACAAAGCAAGACCTGCCCCCTCCTTCCCAGCACTAACCTGGGAAATGTCACAGTCCAATGGATTAAGGAAAAAATGAGGCAGGAAACAAAGCGAGAGTTGTTTAGATCTCCTCCCAAATGGGAGCACCAACCCCACTGAATTCACAAAAGGAACTCCAGGACACACAATTCCTCCCAGGATCAGCAGCGGCCCCTTAGGGGAAGGCTGAGCTGCCCTGGAACCAGAGCTGCAACTCAGAGAAATCCCGTATTTTCCCTGAAAACAGCGATGGGGAACAGGAGACAAACCCCACAATGAACTCCTGCCGTGCCACACGGCCGGCAGACCCAGGCCGGCACTCCAGGAGCTCTGGGGGTCGGATGGAGCTCCTGCAGGAGCCCGATTCCCGTTTCACAGCAATCCCAGCGAGCCCGGAGCCGGCCCGGCACCCCGGCAGCATTCCGCGGCTGTCAAGGCTCAGCCCCAGGAAAAGGAACACCCGACACCGCTGCGCTCCCACACCGCACCCGGCCGGGGGCTGAAACCTCCCAGAGGCCACAGAGCTCCGCAAAACGCAATCCAGGCGGACTCGGGAACGGGAGCCCCAGAGCAGCACTTAAACAAGCAGATTTAGGAAACCGAGCCCAACTGAGACAGGCGAATTTGGGAACGGGAGCCCAAAGAGAAGCGTTTAAAGCCACGGATTGGGGAACAGCAGGCCCAGCACAGCGGCCTGCAGCGGCACGGCCGAGCCTGGGACAGCCCCTGCCGTGGAGTGGGGGGGGGCGGAGGGGGGGGGACGGAGCTCAGCACCGCGCGGGGGAACACCGACACCTTCCCCTCAGGGACGAGGCCACAACGGGAGCCCAGAAGCGGAAGAGAACCGACGGGAAGCGGCGCCGTCCCCTCAGAGCCGCCACGCCACCCAGAGAGACCCCGGCCCGGGCGGACCCCCTTGGCGGCCGCCCTGTGTCCTGCCCCCGAGGCGCCGGCCCGGACCGGCCCCGCCGCCCCTCACCAGCGCCATCGCCGTTGTCGCAGCCATCTTGTCCTCCCCGTCTGCAGCACGCGCCTCTCGCGAGAGCTCAGTGGCGCGCGCGCGCGCGGGAAACGGGGGCCGGGCGGCGCTCGCGAAAAGTATCGCGAGACCGCGGGAGGGCATCACGTGACCCCCGGCGGCTGGCAAGATGGCGTGACTCAGGCGTCGTCGCCGTCGGAGGTGTGAGATGTGGTGTGGCGTGATCCCGGGGGAGCGGGGCTTCAGCTCGGCTGCTGCGGCCCTCAGCGCCGCTGCACTGGCAGGACCCGGTGCCTCGGGCAGGGCTGTGACAATCCGAGTCCCGAGCAGAACGGGTTCAAACCAGTTAAAATGCATTAAAGCCGCGTAAACCCAGCTAAAACGGGATAAATCCCACTGGTACCCCATAACCCTTGGTCATAGCTGGGGGGAAGAGCTGCGGAACATCCCCCCCGGTACCGGCCGTGTGCTGGATGTGTCACGGGGTGCGGACAGGGACCTACTCTGGGAAGTGCAGGGAAACGTCTCTGTTCCCAGTCCGGCATCTCTGTCCCTTCTCTTGGCCCCGTTCGAGGGGCCTTAGTCCCTGGTGTCCGAATTTCAGTGCCGAGCCAAGGGCACACCCCGGCACAGGGAATGGAGCTGGGCTGGGAGAGCTGGGAGGAAGAACATTCCAGGGACACCTCAGATCCCCTTCCAGGGCCTAAACAGGCTCCAGGAGAGCTGGAGAGGGACTCCAGACAACACCTTGGAGGGACAGGACACAGGGAATGGCTTCCCACTGCCAGAAGGCAGGGATGGATGGGATATTGGGAAGGAATCATTCCCTGGGAGGGAGGTGAGGCCCTGGCACAGGTGCCCGGAGCAGTTGTGGCTGCCCCTGAATCCCTGGCAGTGCCCAAGGCCAGGCTGGACAGGGCTTGGAGCAGCCTGGGACAGTGGGAGGTATCCCTGGGGATGTCTGGAGGGTTCTTCCCACCCAGCCCTGCCAGGGTTCCCTGTCTGTGCCAGGGGGCGGAAGTGCAGCTCTGGAATAGCCCCCCAGGTGTGGGCCCTGTCCCAAGCACAGGCAGCCTCAGCAGGACAGCACACCTGGCAGAACTGGCACCAGGATCTTGTATTTCCACTCAGGAATATCCCCGTCCCTGAGGAAATCCCCCACGGAGGGCACAGAGCCCCCGGGTTTTATAAAGGAGTTTGGGCCACTGAATTCGCCTAGGGCAGGGAATTCCAGGCTCAGAGCAGCTGTGTTAGACCCTGTTAAATCCATGGATTTAGGCTAGGGCTGTGTGAGGCAGTGCCAGGGAGGAGCTGGGATGTGCTGGAATGTCTGGGGCCAGGCTGGGGCTGCCCTGGAGGCACTGGGAATGGGCAGCTCTGAGGAGTCCCTGGATCCCTCCCCCTCGGCTTTCCTGGAGTCAGGAGTCATGAGCAGGCTTGTGCAGAGCCCTCCAGTGGGACTGGGCTTTATTGATTTGTCAGGTGGGGTAAGATTGATTCCAGATGGGAACATTGGCAGGGCTGGGGATGGAGCAGGGCTGGGGATGGAGCAGGGCTGGGGATGCAGCTCTGCTGGGGATGGAGCAGGGCTGGGGATGGAGCTCTGCTGGGGATGGAACAAGGCCAGGGATGGAGCAGGACTGGGGATAGGGCAGGGCCAGGGATGGAGCAGGGCTGGGGATGGAGCAAGGCCAGGGATGGAGCAGGACTGGGGATGGGGCAGGGCCAGGGATGGAGCAGGGCTGGGGATGGAGCAAGGCCAGGGATGGAGCAGGGCTGGGGATGCAGCTCTGCTGGGGATGGAGCATGGGACGGGGATGGAGCTCTGCTGGGGATGGAGCAGGGCTGGGGATGGAGCAGGGCTGGGGATGGAGCTCTGCTGGGGATGCAGCACTGCTGGAGATGCAGCCTGAGCCAGGGATGCAGCCCAGGCTGGCTGAGCGTGGATTAAATCCCGCTGGGATGCAGCTGGAGTGACGCCACAGTGCACAAGCAGCGGGGGCACACGGAGCTCCAGCAGGGACTGGAACCAGCACGGAGCAGGAGGCCAGGGCAGATCCCCCTGCACAGTGGGAGCAGCACAGAGCAGGATTTCAGAGCCAGCTTTCCCTGGAGCAGCAGGACAGCACAGAGCAGGATTTCAGAGCCAGCTTTCCCTGGAGCAGCAGGAACAGCACCAGCACAGGGCACTGGCACAGAACACCAGCGTGGTGCAGATCACCAGGACAGCACCAGAGCTGATTTCTCCAGCACAGAGGGAGCAGCAGGAGCAGCACCAGCACAATACAGAGCAAGGTGCCAGAGCTGCATTTCCACAGCACAGCAGGAACACAGAGCAGAATTTCAGAGCCAGTTTTCCCTGGCACAGCAGGAGCAACACTGCCTCAGCACAGAGCAGGGTGCCAGAGCCAGTTTTCCCTGGCACAGCAGGAGCAGCATCAGCACAGAGCAGGATGCCAAAGGCAGTTTTTCCTGGCACAGAGTGAGTGGCAGGAGCAGCACTGGCACAGCACACAGCAGGGTGCCAGAGGCAGTTTCCCCTGCACAGCAGGAGCAGCACCAGCTCAGAACACCAGCAGGATTTCAGAGCCAGCTTCCCCTGCACAGCAGGAGCAGCACTGGCACAGAGCAGTGGCACAGAACACCAGCGTGGTGCAGATCACCAGGACAGCACCAGAGCTGAATCAGAGTCTGAGCAGGAGGAGCAGCACCAGCACAGAGCAGGGTGCCAGGGGCAGATTTCCCTGGCACAGCGGGAGCAGCAGGAGCAGCACTGGCACAGCACAGAGCAGGATGCCAGAGCTGCATTCCCACAGCACAGCAGGAGCAGCAGGAGCACAGAGCAGGATGCCAGAGGTGTTTTTCACTGGCACAGCAGCACCAGTACAGCACAGGATGCCAGAGCTGGATTCCTCTGGCAGAGCAGCAGCAGCCCAGAATGCTGGCATGGAACACTGGCATGGTGCAGATCACCAGGACAGTGCCAGGATAATCCAGTACAGCAGGAGCAGCACCAGCACAGAGCAGGGTGCCAGAGCCAGTTTCCTATGGCACAGCAAGAGCAGCAGTGGCACAGCACAGAGCAGGATGCCAAAGGCAGTTTTCCCTGGCACAGCAGGAGCAGCACAGAGCAGGATTTCAGAGCCAGTTTTCCCTGGCACAGCAGGAGCAGCAGTGGCACATCACAGAGCAGGATGCCAAAGGCAGTTTTCCCTGGAGCAGCAGGAGCAGCACAGAGCAGGCTTTCAGAGCCAGCTTTTCCAGGAGCAGCACTGAGCAGGATTTCAGAGCCAGTTTTCCCTGGCACAGCAGGAGCAGCCCCACATGGCTCCTGGACAGAGACAATTCCTGTTTGCACTTTTCTCCACATCAACGTGTCCCTGGCAAAGGGCAGCACTGGGGTGGTGATGGTGGCAATTCCCCAGCTCCAGGCCAGGGACTGACATTCCAATCACCGTTGCAGGAATGGGAGGAACAGGCAGCAGGGCTCTCTCCTGAAGATGCGATTTTGGAAGGCTGTAGGAGAAACTGGGGAATAACAAGGATTCTGTGGAGCATCAATGAAATTCCTGCTGATCCACATGTGTGGATCCAGGTGGTGGGTTCAGGAATTTCTCCTCAAGCCATGTCATGTCCAGCTCACACAGTCCCAGCTCATGGTGAGGGTTCTGAGCACAGGCAGCACAGTGGAGACTTAAACCTCGGGAAGTTTGGGATGGAGAGGGGAATGTGGCAGATGGGAAGTGCCACAAGGGCTTTCCAAACCTGCTCCTCCCCTCCCTCCCTCCAGCAAGGACCATTCCAGATGGCAAAGAGGGAGAAAATAGCTGTGGGACCTGCAGCGAGGAGGCTGATCGTTCCCAGAGGGAAATGGATCCAGCTGGGGCTTCCTGCAGCAGCTCCACAAGCCCCACTGGGAAGGGGCTGCTGGGGGTGCTGCCCACTCCCCCACACCTCCCCTCGGGAGCAGAGACCAGAACACATCCCAGCGTCCCAGGATTAATTCCTGGTGTTTGCCGAGTCCTCAGTCAGCTGCTGCCTTCCCAGAGGACGGATTGGGCAAATCCCCGTGGGCCCAAGGCCCGGCCAGGTGAGTCCTGCTGCAGCTGGGTGGGTCGGGAGCCCTTTGGGATCCTCCATCCGGCGCCTCGATCCCCTGGGAACGCGGGCTCACAGGGCTTGGGAGCGGTGCTTGTGGAAGGCGCTCTCCAGGAACGCGGCCAGCTTTTCACAGTCGTCCTGGAATCAGAAACGCCCACAGCTCCCTGTGCTGGGCTCTCCCAGCCACCTCCAACCCCCACAGTCCCCATCCCGAGCCCTTCCTGTGCTGGCTCCAGTCCTGGAGCACGTTTGGGGTGCCCAGGTGAGGACATGGACAGGCTGGAGCACATCCAGGGGAGGGAAGAGAGCCCCAGGAGAGGCTGGGGGAGCTGGGAAAGGGGCTCAGCCTGGAGAAAAGGGGGATCAGGGGGGACCTTGTGGCTCTGCACAGCTTGTGCCAGGAGGGGACAGCCAGGGAGGTTAGGTTCTGCTCCCAGGGAACAGGGACAGGAGAGAGAACAACCCCAGGCTGGGGAGGTTTGGGTGGGATATTGTGAAAATTCCTCCTGGAAAGGGCTGTCCAGCCGTGGCACAGCTGCCCAGGGCAGGGCTGGAGTCCCATGCCTGGAAGTGTTCCACTGACATGTGTGGGTGTGGCACTTGGGGATGCCATCAGGGTGACCTCGCCAGTTTGGTCACAGGCTGGACTCAATAATCTTGGAGATCTTCTCCAAAATGAATGGTTCTGTGATTCCTTAAGTAAGGAATCAGCCTCCTTCCCTGTGTGCTCCCCAGGTGCTCCCCTGGTTCTCACACTCAGAATTATTTAAGATCCAGCTAATTAACACGCGCCGCAATGGGCAGTTCCCCTTGGAACAGCTCCTGGAGCAGAATCTGGAGGGAACAGAAATCCCAGCCCTGCCTGGGAGGAGCTGGAGGAGCTCTGGGGGCTCCAGATTCGGGGACAGCAGGGACTCACCTCGTGGATGAATCCATAATGCACCAGCTCTGTAGCCAAATCCTTGGAGTTGTCAGCTGCAGAGACAAGGAGCAGGAGAACACAAGCATGGATACAGCTCGTGGGGCTCCTGCACCTGGGAGAGCTGGGAAAATGGGGCAGGGAAGGGGAGTAAGGTTCCTGAGCTCCCAAAACATGGCTCTGGACAATGCGTCACTTGAAAAGGCTTTGTGTGGCCCCCCAGGGAAAGCCTGGGGCAGGAGCAGCTCCCAGGCACCATTCCCCAGCGTTCTGAGGGAATTGTGGCTGTGAGGCAGCCCCGGGGCTCCTGATGTTCAGAGGCTCCTGATGTTCTGGAAGGAGCTGGACCTGCCCCTTTCCCGGGCTCCTCAGAGGAGGGTGCCCCTATCCCTTGGGAAAGTGCTGGGGACGCTGTGCCCATGCTGGGAATGAGAGTGGAGTTCTGGAGTCCACTGGGACTCCAGGAACTGCCCACGGGGGGTCCTGGTGGGAATGCAGCCCTGCAGTGACCACCGGGGCTCTGCCCTGCCGTGACCACCGGGGCTCTGCCCTGCAGTGACCACTGGGGCTCTGCCCTCCATGTGCACAGGGTCCAGGTGGGCAAGGGCTGGGACCACACAGGAAAAAAAGAAAGGAAAAGGAGAAAGGGGAAAGGGAAAGGAAAGGAGAGGAATGAGAAAAGGAAGGGGTGGATGAGAGGAAAGGAAGGAAAGGGAAAGGTAGGGAAGCTGGCTGGGAAGCTGGCACACTCCTAACCCCAGCAGGGCCCCAGGCTGCCCCAGCAGCCACTCCCTGCACTCCCTGCAGGAACGTACTGGGCAGCAGGTCGTAGCTGAGCTGGCGGTGCAGCTTGTCCTCCAGGATGAGCAGGAGTGTGAGCTGTGGAGACAGGAGAGAGCCCACTCATTCCAGCCCCTGCAGGACACCGGAAGGGCTGGGCAGGATGGGGGGGATCTGGGGGAACTGGGAGCTCTGGGGGGACTGGGGGAACTGGGGGGACTGGGAGCTCTGGGCACTGCTGGGAGCTCTGGGGAACTGGGAGCTCCAGACTTCCCAGTACCATTTCCCAGTCCAATATCCCAGGCAGATTTCACTTTCCCATCTTCCTGTCATATTTCCTGGTCTGATTTCTCAGTCCCAGTCCCATTTCCTATTCCCAGTCCCATTCCCAGCAGGACGTGCAGGGAGCAGTGCAGGATCCAGGTACTCACGTGCCACTGGCTCTTGTCCTCATTCAGCTCCATGTTGCACTGCATCTGCACCACCTGGAAAAGCCCAGCTCGGGATCAGCCCCTCTGGCTCTGGGGCACTTTGGAATTCCTATGGAAACCCCAGAACTCCTCTCCCGGCTCTCTCCTGGGACATGGCTAAGGGGAGAGGTGTCCCTGCAGCAGGGATGGGAGTAGCACAGGAGCTGTCCCCACCTGGAGCAGCCCAGGATCTGCCCTCACCTTCCTGGTCTCCACATCGAAGGGCTCTGGCGTGGGGGTCTTGGCTTTCTGAGGGTCCTCCTGGGGCTGGGACAGGGCGCGGGGCAGGGCGTGGGGTCTGGAGACAGCGAAGTTCATCAGGGGGTAAATCCCATTCCTGTGGGATAAGGAGGGAGAACAGGGCTGATCCCATCCCCTGCGGCCCTGGCAGAGCCAGCTCTGGAAGGAGCAGGGACAGGCAGGGATGGAAGGAGTGGGGACAGGGCACCGAGCACAGCTGGGGACAGCTGGGGACAGCAGAGATACTCCCATGTGTCCATCCTGACCCCACATTTCCCTGGGGAGAGCAGAGACACTCCCGTGTGCCCATCCCGGCCCCACATTCCATGGGGACAGCAGGGACACTCCCGTGTGCCCATCCCAGCCCCACATTCCATGGAAGCCCAGGCGGAGCTGGGAGCTCCAACCCACCTGACGTCCTCCAGGAACTTGTCGAGCTCCAGGAAGGAAACCTCGGAGTACCTGGGCAGGGAACAGGACAGGAGGGTGCAGGGGGTGAGGGCTGCCCTGGCAGTGGGGTCTCCAGGCTGGATGCTGTGGGGTCTCCCCCATCCTCATCCTCACCTCCACTGCGCCCCGGGCCGGCCCTCCCTGCGGATCTCGGCCATCACCATGTTCAGGTCCAGCTCCTTGATCTTCTCCTCCACCACGTTCTCTGGCATCAGATCTGGGGCAGAGGGACAGGGGGGTATGGGTCCCACAGCCCCTACCCCAGGGAGGGGCTGGGAGTCACAGCCCCCTCCCCAGCCTCTGCACATGGCATCACGCGTGTTTTGTTTGGGAGGGACCTAAAATCCCATCCAGTCCCACCCCCTGCCATGGCAGGGATACCTTCCCCTATCCCAGGGTGATCCAAGCCCTGTCCAACCTGGAACACTGCTAGGGATCCAGGGACAGCCACAGCTTCTCTGGGTGCCTTGTGCCAGGGCCTCAACCCCTCCCAGCCAGGAATTCCTTCCCAAAATCCCATCTAACCCTGTCCTCTGGCAGTGGGAAACCATTCCCCTTTTCCTGTCACTCCATCCCTTGTCCAAGTCCCTCACCAGCTCTCCTGGAGCCCCCTCAGGCCCTGCAAGGGGCTCTGGGGTTTCCTTGTACCCTTCACTCCTCCAGGCTGAGCATTCCCAGCTCTCCCAGCATGGCTCTCTGCTCTCTCCAGGCTGAGCATTCCCAGCTCTCCCAGC